ATTTTGATCCTTGACCAGGTAACTGAAAATAGCCTTTAATTCAACTTTTTAACACTAAACTATAGGCAGAATTATATTCAAGTCCTAAAATTTGGCTCACATATTACATATTATGGGGATGTTTACACAGAAACTTGTGTCTATGCTTATTAGCAGAACAATGAAATCAAGATGCATTATTTAAAATAATTTTTTTTCCTACCAGTTAATTCCTTTTCTTTTCTATTTCTCTACCTTCATCACCATGAAAGTGTTTGGTGTTGTATTAAACAGGAGACCTATTTTTTTATGATAGTTTATCTTTACATCGTTTTGTGCCTTTTCCATCTCAGTTGTAATCCCCGTGAGCTTCCCATCCCCAAATCACCTGTGTGCCATCACCATAGTCCTGTGCAACCCCCCCCCCCATTTTTGATCCCATTCCCCACTCCACCCCAGTAAAATGTCTCTGATATAGTCGTTCATTATTATTTTTATTCCCCCTGGTCCTTTATGCTCCTGCTATGAGTGAAACCATCCCGTATTTTTCTTTTTCTTTCTGGTTTATTTCATTAAGCATGATCCCTCCCAGCTCCAGAAGACCAGTTTTATCTTCTCCTACATCCAGGTTATGAGCACCGCTAATGTAATCATGAAGGTGTAGGTTGGTTTCCCTATAAATTATGCTCTGTTTGGCTGGAACTCAATGCTGTTTGTTATTTCTTTTGTATACCATCTCCCTCCCTCTCCTGCACATCACAGCAGCTCTAGCGAACATTATTACTTCCCTTAAGCGGAAACATTGCCCTAATTTGTTCTTTCTCAGCAATCTCCTTCCTAGGCAGGGAGAATATTGAGGTTATCTGTTCTCCATTAGGTCCACGCTGGTCCCAGCGCTCAATACTTAAATAAACTATTTCTTGCTGGCACTCTTCTCTCTTTTTCCCAACCTCTTTCTTGTCTCAGCATTAGGCTTTTTTCTCTCTTCTCCTTAGCTTATCCCTTTTCTATCTTCCTAATTACATCTCTTGCTGCTTCTCCAAGATGCAGATCTCTAAGACGTCATTTCTACATTGGCATATTAAACATACTAACATAGTCCTTTTTTTTTTTTACGATTTATTTATTTATGCATACAGAACTGGGGTACAGGCCAGAGGCTCTTGGGCGGTGAGAGGCTTCACCAGAGACAGAGTAGGGAGCAGAACAGGCAGATCCACAAAGTACACTGCTGAGGGGAGCAGCCCACCGGTCAGGAGACATCTGCTGCACCATGTGGGTCACTTCCAGGACCAGGGATCGAACTAACACTGAGAGGCTGCAATAGTGCTTCCTCCTAAGCCCTTTGTGCCACCATTGTCTTTTTTAATTCACAAAGTGAACTTCCTTTGAACTTTTTTTTTTTAAAGATTTATTTATTTGTTCATACAGAACTGGGGTACAGGCCAGAGGCTCAGGGACAGTGAGAGGCCTCACCAGAGACAGAGTGGGGAGCAGAACAGGCAGATCTATGAAGTACACTGCTGAGGGGAACAGTGGACGGGTCAGGAGAGGTCTGCTGCGCCATGTGGTCACCTCCAGGGCAGGC